CCACCCACCCACCCACACACACACACAACAGAAAATATAAGGTGCAAATGTGCCGAAAAGCAAACGGGTGTGTACACATTCCATGCTCAAGTGTGGTGGATGTATGTTGCACCTCTTAGAATACAGCAATGAAATGACGGCTTCATCAAAACATGACAGTCGTTTAGAATACCACGTATTACTATAGACAAAGGGCTGTTTCCGTTTCGGATCTACATTCTTTTTTTTTTTTTTTTTTTTTTTTAATGAAAACATTGCGGTCGAGCGTGGGGGGGGTACTGGTAAGAGCAGACACCCCCTCTACGCCCGCTATTTGCGAACGGCTCCGTTCCATTGGTGGGGAGCTGCACCTGCTGGAAACCGGGTCCAGCGTCCCTTAACATTTGAGAACAGGAAGCCAAAGTTCAGACTTGTTGTGTTGGCCTGTTATCACAGGGCCCCTAGTCCCACATAAACAACATAGAGAACCTTGTCATTAGCCTAAACATAGGTTATTGGTAAAGAGCGTAAATGTATCTTGATCAGAGGCTGCAGTTTACAGTCTACAGTCTGCAACTCGCCCGGGCTGTAGCGCGGCACAGCAGTGCATAGAGTTGTCAGCAGGAGTCTTGATTGGAATGTCCTGTGTGTGGCAGTCACTGTCCTCAGCCATGGTTCTCTTCCATTCATCATGATCGAATCCCGCAGCTCACCCTCCTACCGGTCCCTGGCGTCGTCGTTGCGGCACCCACTGAATCACTCCCAATCCCGGGCTGTTGTCTCCATAGCCCACGCCATTCCATCGGCCGAAGAATCCCTTCAGTCGTATCATGCTGGCAATCTCGTGTCGTAGTCCTCTGTTGCTGTGTTGTTGTCGTCGTCTTCTGTGAACAGCTCGCCAGAGTATGGCCAGCCCGTGATGAAGGGGGCATCAGGGTTGAGGGAAGGATCCGGGAGGGAGGATGGGGAGGGTCAAAGCAGGGGGAGGGGGGGAGGCGCTGGGGGGGGCGGGGAGCTGTCTGATACAAGCACGAAGTTCGTCGGGAGATAGGAGACCTCGAAAGAGTTGAACGGTCTCCTCTCCCAGGTTGCTTCTGTGGACCTCCACGGTTTCCATCGGATGTCCAGGCAGTCGGTCAGTTCCAAGAATCTGATGTTCGGATCCTGCCATAGCTGGCGGTAAGTCATAACTGTTGCTTCCTTGGCAGCCTGTTCCTTTTCCTCACGGCATGCCCGTTTCATTTCTTTCCACGCTTCGTGCGTTCGGGCTCTGATTTCATCCTCCGCCGCCTGCTGTAGGCCAAACTGATGGTCTTTTTTTTCGAAGGCGCACCTAGCTCGCCGTGTGAGCATCAACACGAAGAGGCTCATGTCGGTAAAGAGGTTGGCAGCATAGGGAGGCCATCGAGCCAGCAACTGCTGGTTTTTGCCGAGTAGGAGAAGACCCAAATCCCATGGAATGTGATAGCCCGTGAGGAAGTGGAATGCCGCATCCCACCATTGCCATATCTGGGTGGCCATTGGACATGCCAACAGGCAATGTTCCAATGTTGCCCTGGCCGGCGGCATCTGGGGGAAAAGGGTTTGTTCGTAATATTCTATAACACGTTGTCGGCATTCAACCTCCTGATGAGTTGGTGAAAGTCCAACGACTCAGAATGAGTTGGCCAGCCATTCTATGGTCAACTGAAGATCTCTGTAATGCTATGATGATCCGCCTTCCTCGACCGTACAAAAGAATCGTTATGGTTTGGCAGCAGTCTGTCTTCTCGTTCCCGTCCTTTCCCCCATCTGCCTCCCTCAGCCGTACAGAACAACGGTGATGGTCTGGCAACACTCTTCACTTGCATTCAAATCCTTTCCTCCTCCCTTTCGCTTGTGAGATCTTTGTTGGCCACGTTTCTTCTGGTAAAGAATGAATCTTATTAGAAGACGGTCCCGATAGACAGTTTCTTTTCTGCACGTAGTGTGGCAACAAATGCGCATGTGCACATGCATTCCTATCCCTCCATGTCCGTGCCTCCTACATTTCCTTTCCCTTTTCGGCTCTGTGGATGTCTTAGAGGACTCAGGGGGAGGAGGGAAGGAGAGGGGACAAGAAAACCCATAAGAATTATGTAAAGCAACGATCTCGTCAATTCACACTGCTACCCGTAACATCGTGAGATCACACTTCGTCACGCAGGTCACCGCACATGAGATTCAAACCAACACGATGCTTGGTCGCACAAGACGGCAACAGCGCTTCTGCGACATGCTCGGGCTCAATTCGTGTTGTTGCTATGCTGCAGCTGGACTTCTTGTTTTTTTTTTTCCCTTTCGTCTTATAAAAACAGGTCCTAATGGCCCTGGCTCCATATCCTTTGTTGCGGGGAGCATCAGTCTGGTTCCTATTCCACCAGCAAGTCAGATATACAACAAGAACACCCTCGCGCTTTCTTCCGTTTGGCCGAAGGACCCCTGAGCAGCATTGATTGCTCTAGATGCTTGCAGCTGGGGTTTTGTACTTGGTTGCAGTGCCCCATCTTGGACTTTCTGGACCAGTACGGGTTCCCTGACTTTCCGACTGTGGTGCCCTCTTGACGCTTCCGGTACTTGAATTTCCCAGGATTGAGCTGTGCTATTTTTGGATGTATCTGTCCGCTGGACTGACAAAGGCATAGCAAGTTATTAGCAACGTATCTCATCGACCTAGGACCTGCCTAGCATGGAAAATCTCAGGAGTCCTGTTGGACTTGCCGTCCGCATCCAGACAGGATTACTGACTGGGGCTATTGTACATGTGGCACTGGGGCTCTTTGACTCGGGAACTCCAGAACTCTGGGACTTTGGGGTACTGAAACCTCAGGACTCAAGGACTTAGATGCTGAGATGTGTGAAATCCTTTCATACGACAAAAATTGGGAGATCGTCATCTGAGACCATGGCTGTGTTGGACCTGAACCCGGACATCATTCGGGCATAGCACGGAGACTTGTCCCTGTAGAACAACGTTGTGGGCAACTCGGACACGTCTAGAGCTTGGATCTGAATATGTCCCGATGTTTGGATCTCTCAGTTTGGAACTTTGGATACGTTTGGATTCTGAAGCTCTGCTTTTTTAACAGTCCTGCCGGAAATTCCGGAAGAGTCCGAATGACGTATTCATAATTTCAAATGATATGTGTCCTTTTTGGGATATCTGTCAAAATTGGAACGATACAGAAAAGATTAGCATGACCCCTGCAAAAGGATGCCATGCATAAATCGAGAAATGGTCGAAAAAAAAAAAAGGGCCAGCAGACTAGCTCAGTTGGTACAGTCTCCATTCGATTTCCCACAGCGATTCGGGCTCAGCAGCTGAGATAGTTGGCTTGACCCCCCTGGTCGGTCTTGGTAGGGGCTTTGACTTCGTCCCTTCCATTCCTCGCTAGGGGTTAGGGTTCAGCACTCGTGCTCAGCGCTTTCGATATGGCCAGCCCCTGTTCACAGATGCAAGGATAGGTAGTGTGAGGTATATTGGAGAGACGAATGCAACTTACTTTTTTGGAATTAGTTTTTTATTCCAAAAAAAAAAAGAAGCAAAGAAAAGAAAAGAAAAGAAAAAAGGGGAAAAAAACGGGGGCTCAGAGAGTGTTTGCTGCGGGTGTCATGCCCACGGGCTTTTGGAGCACACGGAAGAAATGGCGCCTTCTAAGGGTGGGGGGGCTTTTGGATTGTGGTGCAACTAATTGTCTATGTTCTGTGTAATTGTCGTTCGTTTGGTATTGATTGCCTTATGCCCTCCATCCTGTTAGAGATTATAACATATTTGTGCAAGCGTCGGCAGCCGGGTGTGTGGGCCTTGTCTTAGGGTTGCTGCACAGGGAGGCTGCACGGGGCCCAGATTTGTGTCAGGCTGCGGCCTTCACTCAGGGCCTGCCTGGACTGTGTTACATGCAGCGCGTGCACACACGGGCCATTTTGCAGGCCCGGCGGCCATTTTGCAGGCCCGACTGGATTCAGGCCAAAACCCTGGATTTCAGGCCGAAAGCCTGAAATTCAGGGCTTACAGGTCCCATTTCGGTTCAGGCCGAAAGCCTGACTTTCAGGGCCTACAGCCCCTGCGACGGTTTAGACTAAAAATGGTAATAGCATTTTTAGCCTGAACCCAAGGGCCATTTTCGGTCGTTCATCAGAACGACCGGCCCTGAAACTCAGGCACCGAACCAGGGTTTTGGGAACAGCCTATATTTAGACTGCTCCCACGCCTGCCTCAAGCAGGCTGCTGCACGCCAGCCCCTGGCACACTTCGACATTGGCAAGAGCTGCCTCCTCGGCCTGCTCGCCCTCCTGCAGGCAGGAGGCAGGCCGAGGAAGTACTAAGGGACTTCCCAGGCACTTCACGGGTAGGCAGTTCGGCAGTTGTAGTCTTCAGGATTCGGGAGCAGCACTCTGGAGGGAGCGCTGCGTTGTAGTAAAGTAGCGTTAGCTAGTAGTCTTCAGCGCTGGGCGCAGTAGGTAGCTGTAGTCTTCGGCGCTGGGCGCCATAGCTAGGTAGTGGTAGAGATGATGGGCGGAGGCCAGGGATCACTTACCTGCAGCGCCGTTGCTCCAGCTTCGTCTTCAAGGTACCTGCAGCACAGCGCCAACATCACAGGTTGGTACCTGGTTCGTAACAGTAAGAGAGAGAGAGTTCTCTTCTTCCTCTTCTCAGTCCCCCACCTTCTTCTTACCCTCTCAACTTCTGACTTCCCTGCAGTGGCAGACTACGAGAGAAGAGATACCGGGCTTGGTGACATATGATCCAGACTCGACTTTTTGAGGATTCAGACATGGCAACGAGGGACCATTTGGGATTGGTGACCAAGACTTGGTGTTAACGACATTCCCATCTTCTTCCCTCCTTTCATCTGATCCTTATCTCTTCGTCTGTGTATGTCTGGACCTGGCGCTATCTTCCTGTGTGCAGCACCAGGCTCCTTCACACTTCGTAATGGATACAATGCATTTTTAGTCTGAGTTCAAACATTGATTGGGCTAGTAAGAGGTACTCTAGCATTCTGCTTCGTTACTCTGAACTACGTGAATGAGGTCAGTCCTGTCAGGTCAGTCTTTGTAGTAAAGTCTTCCCTGCGCTCTTCAGCATCTTTATGTATGAATGAGAATGTACATTGCTTGTCGAGATCATACTCGTACCGCATTGTCTATTCAGTCCTTTTCATCACATTGCAGATTCTCGGTCTATTACGTACATTGCAGATCTGTGCATGTAACAGTTGGTATCGGAGCTTTTGCACGTGAATCAGGACGATCTGATCTGACACGTGTGCGGGGATCAAAAAGCTAGTTAGTCTTTTCTGTTTCATTAGGACATACTAGTTAGAACCCAAAATCACAATCTTGACCTTACTACAAAAAAAAAAATCAAAATTTTTTCTTTTCTCGGATTTTATTTTCTCGTTATTCTGCTGTGGAAAATCGCTATATCGCAACATCTGAAATTCCTATTTTCGTTTTTCTTTCTGAAAATTCGAAATTTCGTTGTTAAAAAAAAAAAAAAATGCGGAATTTTTCTGTTGCATTTCCTGTTACTTAGAACTTCGGAATATCTTCTTTTCTGAAACTCGTTTTTCTGAAAACGGTACGGGATATACCTCCTGCACGTATTTTTTTTTTTCTTTCAAACTGGGAATATTGCCATCGGAATAAATCCCATTATCTGTCATTTCTTTTCGGACTTTTTTTCGCAGTTCTTGGATTCTGTCAGTTGGTTCTATAAATCGGTGGCAGTCTAAAGTCGATTTTTTTTTCGCTTTCAAAGATCATTTCGTACGTCAAGGGAGATTGGGAGACCTACCGAACTTGCAAAAATCGAGATTTTTATTTTTCTCAAAAAAAAATTTGCAAAGTTCAAACTTTTCTGGTTTGATTAGTGGCCCCTTATCAAAGAGTGAGTTGGGCAATTATCCCACCCACCCCTCCCCACCTATGTTGTTGCCATATCTTGCCTTGCCGTTTCTGTTTGTATCCGGGTACCCCCTGCGGCGGCATTGGTAAGTTGCCACGTCAGCTGGCCACGTCAGCAGACCACGTCAGCAGGACACGTCAGCAGGCAACGCAAGTACGTCAGCAGACCACGTCAGCAGGCTACGTAAGCAGGACACGTTAGCAGCAAGGGATACCACATCAGCAGGCACCGGTCTGGTCTATGCTGTTGCGTTCACAGACAACAGTCATGGACCAGAAGGCCGGGGAAACAGACGAGGCCTATCAGGCCCGCATGTTAGCCGGGAGTACCGAGACAAAGAAGCGGGCAGATGACGCTGCCGCAGCAGCCAAGAAAAGGGCAGAAGATGCCGAACAGGCACGTTTGCTGGCTGTGCAACAACAGCGCCAGCACGACGAAGCAGCAGCAAGGGCCGCCGATGAAGAAAGAACACAACGTCGTGAGAAGATATTCACCGGAGAGCGGGCGTCACTTACCATGGTAGCAGAATGGCGAAGCGAGGCCGAGAACAGCCAGTTGGAGGACATCGCAAACAAGATAGCGCTCTTCCTCTCGCATCTCACGGGTCTCCTGGCAACTTGCATTACACAGCAGGCGGAGACCCTTGGTCTCGACAACTCGGTAGCTCAGCTCCAAGACCGCCTTCAACGGGTGGAGCAGCGACCAGTCACCGCCGCCGACGCAGGCTCTTCCAACACTGCCGACCGCCTCACCGCATTGGAGATGCACGTCGGCTCCCTCCAGGACGGCGCACAGTTACAGCAGACCGCGACACAACGATTGCAGCAGCGGATCTGCACTACCGCCACCACCTCGAGTCCGGAGCCGCGTGAGACAGCTCCTAAGTTCGATGGGCAGGAGATCTTCCACGACTCAATCAAGACAGATCCAATTCCATAGTTTCGCAAGTTCGAGCTCACGCTGCAGCTCCACAACGTTAAGGAACAAAAGCATCACGCCTACTTGTACTCTCGCTCAGGGGGTGCGTGTCAGGCTTGGTTGGACAACCTGTTGTCCAAGTATGGAGTGGTAGCTAACGACTTGCACACCAAGATCACCTGGGATGATCTGAAGGCAGCGTGGCACAAGCGGTTCCAGGTGGAGCTGCCAGAGATCAAAGCCATGGACAAGCTCATGGTCTTCGAGCAAGGCACGCTGCCGAGTACGGACTGGATCGCCGAGTACCAACGCTTGACGTCAGTCCCAGACATCCAGATGGGCTTCAAGGCCATCCACCACTACATCTCAAGGTCATGTTCGACATTGAGCAATGCCCTGACGCATGTCGAGGACACCTTGACGACGACGGCGGAGTTATTTGACAAGGCTGCGCAGATCATGGTCACGAACAAGGAGGCCAAGAACCTTCGTTCATCTGCGTCAAGCCCGAGCAGGGACCAGCATCGGCCAAGAGCGGCCGTGGTCGCAGCGGCAGCGCCGTTAGACCAAACCAGTGAGGCTGCGTCTGCCAGTGAAGGAGAAAGATTCGCAGCTCCCCTAGAAGGTGGCCTCGCCGGCAGAGGCCGAGGGCGAGGCAAGCCAAAGACACACATCGTTTCTAGCCCCGGGCCCGGTGCAGCAGCTCAGACATGACCATAGACCCCGTATGGCATCTCCGAGTCCGCATACAAGGCGCGCGAGAGATTCCACTGTTGCCTTTGGTGCAACAACGATCTTCATCAGACGCAGGTTTGCCCATTGAAAGGCAAGGGCAGACAGGGAAACTGAGCACCGCCGAGATTGACGCGACGACACTCTCAACGCCTTCGGAACTGGTTTCTTCGCGAGTGACCAGCATTCATTCCGAGGCGCACGCGGAAGTCGACAGTCCTCCGCTTCTATTTTCTTTTGAGGACTATGCTGCCCGGCTCGTTCCAACGCTGGGTACTCAAGCTCAAGGACAAGGAGTGTGTGCGGTTTCTTCTCCGTCCGGCAACAGCGACATATCGTCTTCAAGTGGTTCGTCACGGGATTCGGCGCGCGAGTTCAAGATAGAGGTTTTGGACCCGCTCACGTCTGAGGACTTTCCATGGCTTCCTCTCCCGACCACAGGCTGTTTGTCGGGACCACAATGCGCAACACTTAGCGCTCATCTCCACACTTACCTTTCCTTCTATGCACCACCAACTTCGCGGACGGATGACGAAGTCGCGTTGGGGGACATCCTGGCGTACGTTACCAAGGTGGCCCGCGAGTTTCGCACGCAGCGGTACGATAACAACAATGCACCGCTCATGTATGTCCGCATCCAGGTTGGGCAAGCGTCCTGCAGCGCTTTGCTAGATAGCGGCGCGACTCGCAACTTCATGAGCCAGTCTTTTATGCAAAGAGTTGGCCTTGGCGCACAAGTTCGGAGGACGGCAAACCCGACGACAATCAAGTTGGCGGATGGAAAGACGCAGCAACTACTCGACCGTTACATCGAGGCCATACCGGTCTACTTCGCACCTCATGCATGCGAACCGGGGACATTCGATATTCTCGACACGGACTTCGATATCATTCTGGGAATGCCTTGGCTTGCAAGTGCAGATCACACGGTCAACTTCCATCGGCGGACTCTTAGCGTTCGCAACGCCTTCCGCGCGGAAGTGGCGTGTACGATTCCTCTACCGCACTCTTCGATCCGGTGCCAAGTGGTGACAGCCAAATTATTCTGGGCGACTTGTGCTTACGAGCAGCCCAAGGAGATCGGCATATGTTTCCTACGGACCGTCGCGGTAGCCGAGTCTTCACCCACGGACTTGTCTTCGGACCCCCGTGTGGTACGGTTGCTGGATGAGTTCGCCGACATCTTCAAGTCACCTACCGGTGTGGTGCCGGGTCGGCCAATCTCTCACGAGATCATTCTTGAGGCCGGTGTTCGTGCCGCCGAAAGGTTGCATCTATCGGATGAGTGAGGAGGAGCTTGAGGTACTCCGCTCATAACTCGATGATTTGTTGGCCGAGGGCTGGATCCGCCCGAGTAGCTCCCCATATGGAGCACCAGTTTTCTTCGTCAGGAAGAAGAACAAGGATCTACGATTGTGCATCGACTACCGCGAGCTCAACGCGCAAACCGTCAAAAATGCGGGGCCTCTTCCTCGCATCGACGATCTTCTCAAGCGGCTGGGCGGTGCAAAGTATTTTTCCAAGTTGGATTTGAAATCAGGATACCATCAAATCTCGATTCAGCCAAATGATCGCTACAAAACCGCATTCAAGACGCGGTACGATCATTTTGAGTGGGTGGTCATGCCTTTTGGCATCACCAACGCCCCAGCGACATTCCAGGCGGCGATGACCAATGAGTTYCGTGCAATGTTGGACCGGTTCGTGCTGGTCTACTTAGACGATATTCTCGTCTACAGCCGGACATTGGAGGATCATCTTGGACATCTTCGACGAGTGTTGGAGACGCTCCGCCGTGCCAAGTTCAAGGCCAACCGCGACAAGTGCGAATTTGTGCAGCAAGAGCTGGAATACTTGGGCCATTTTGTCACACCGGAGGGCATCAGTCCGCTATCGAACAAGATTCAGGCCGTCCAAGCGTGGCCGGAGCCTCGGAACGTCACGGATGTCCGCTCGTTCCTCGGTCTTACCGGCTACTATCATCGCTTCATCAAAGGCTACTCGAAGATCGCGGCCCACTTGAACAAGCTTCAGTGCGAGGATCGTCCGTTTGAATTTGGAGAGGAGGCGCGGGGAGCATTCCTCACTCTCAAAGCCGTGCTATTGTGTGCAGAGGTCTTGCGGATATACGACCCGCTCGCACCTACACGTGTCACTACGGATGCGTCAGGCTATGGCATTGGTGCAGTCCTCGAGCAACATGATGGTGGGGACTGGCACCCGGTCGAGTACTTCAGCAAGAAAGTGCCACTCGTGCATTCCATTGACGATGCACGCAAGAAGGAGCTCCTCGCCTTCGTCCACGCGCTCAAGCGGTGGCGGCACTTCCTCCTTGGTCGAAGCCAATTTCGCTGGATAACGGACAACAACCCGTTGGTCTTCTACAAGACCCAAGACACCGTCAACAGCACCATCGCTCGATGGATGGCTTTCATCGACCAGTTCGACTTCTTCCCCGATCACATTCCCGGGAAGTGGAACCGTTTTGCGGATGCTCTTTCACCGCGTCCGGATCACTGTACTGCGGTCTACTGGACTTTCGAGATTGACGATGACCTGCGGAACAGCTTCATCCGCGGTTACCAAGCCGACCCCGAGTTTCGCGACAAGTACGCGAATTGCTCCTCGCCTAATCCGGCTCCTTCTCACTACCGGATCCAGGAGGGGTACTTGCTTGTCCACACGCGGGGGAAGGACCTTCTTTGCTTACCAAGTTATCCTCACTTGCGTACACGGCTTCTTGGCGAGTTCCAYGACGCTCCCGCCATCGGACATTTTGGAGTCAATCGCACGATTGGCCGACTTCGCCAGCGATTTTGGTGGCCCGGCCTTCTCGGCGACGTCACGCGCTATTGCGAGTCATGCGAGGTTTGCCGACGCTGCAAATCCCGCAACCATCGTCTGTACGGCGAGCTACGACCATTGCCAGTCCCGTTGAGGCGAAGGGAAGCGATTGCCATGGACATCACCGGCCTGTTCCCCAAGCACAAGACTGGAGTGGATGGGATTCTCACGGTGGTCGACCGACTCACCAAGTTCGCCATGTGTTTGCCTTGTCGCTATCATGCCAAGGCACCGGAGTTGGCCGAGGTTCTGTACGCCGGTTGGATTCGCACCAAGGGTTAGCCCAAGGAGATCGTCTGCGACCGCGACACTCGGTTCATGTCCGATTTTTGGTTGGCGCTCATCTCTCAAGCCCAGTTCAGCTCGCCACCCTCAGACCGATGGCCAGACGGAGAGGGCGCATCAGACCGCACAGGTTCTCCTTTGCACTCTCATCCGTTCCGTCCAGAAAGAATGGGTTGAGCGACTGCCGGACGTTGAGTTGGCCTACAACTCTTCCATCCACCCGGCTATTGGGATATCGCCTTTCGAGTTCGAGCACGACTCGCCGGTCACGTCACCGTTGGACATGATTACTCCACGCACGGCCGAGAGCGACGACCATCTTCTTTTCTTGCGTCGGATGCAAGAGCTTCTTGTCAAGGCACGCGACCAGATGGCTAAGACGCAGCAGCGCATGCGCCAACAGGCAAATCGCCAGCGTTTTCCTTGTCCATTCCGCGCCGGAGACCTCGTCTGGGTTTCAGCAGCGGAATTCAGCCTTGAACAAGACGTCTCTCGTAAGCTCCTCCCGAAATGGATGGGGCCTTGGCCGATCATAGAGCCCGCTGGGGACGCACCCGAAGGACCCTCCTTCACGATTCGGGTGCCTAGCCACTTGCCTGTCTACCCAGTCTTTCATTGCTCCAAATTGGCTCTCTACACGCTAGCGGATCATGACGACTTTCCCGGGAGACGGACGCAAGACCCACCTTCTATGGATGGTTTTCAAGAGGTCGGCGACATCCTCTCCCAGCGACGCTTTGGCAACAAGCCAACTGAGTATTTGGTGCATTTTGCCTACTGCACACATCGAGCTGACCGTTGGTTAACCCGTGCGGAACTGCAAGCGACAGCTCCAGACGTTCTCGCACGCTACGAACGCAAGATGCAGGGCAAGCCGGTTTCTTCGGCTCCACGCCACGCCCGCGTCCAGGTTCCACCGTCAGATCGACGGCTTCGCCCTCGCCCCGGCTTGACTTCATAAGGAGGGGGGGGGTGTTACATGCAGCGCGTGCACACACGGGCCATTTTGCAGGCCCGACAGCGTTCAGGACAAAAGCCTGAACTTCAGGCCGAAAGCCTGAAATTCAGGCTGAAAGCCTGAAATCCAGGGCTTACAGGCCCCCTGTCGGTTCAGGCCAAAAGCCTGAAGTCCAGGGCCTACCCCTGGTCGTTTCATACGAAAAATGTCAACAGCCTTTTTAGCCTGAAACGAAGG